GGAACGAAGTTACGGAAAGTTAATTAACAAACGGAGACGTAACAATATATTCTGCTCGACGGTATATTGTAGTATTATCTAGGTTGTAGCGACTGCTACATCCTTTTCTGGCCGAATCGACACTGTCTGTATATTACAATCGACCAATGTTTTGAGAGAAGAAAGGTCATGAGGTGACGCTGTTCATTGGACAAAAACTAAGATTACGTGTTGAATTCAGGTCTGCTTTCTTAATTCATTTTCTACCTGGAGGTCAATAAGCGTCGTCCTATTTGAAAATTAGTGTATTTAGTTCAGCAGAAGTATATATCAAGAAAAAGAAAGATGAGGAACTAATAAAAATCCATTAGAAGTGGCTGTCTCTTCATGTATGTATTAATATGTACGCTGAATTTTGTTTTTGTCTGTTACAATATAAAGATTATGTTCATTTTGTCCAGTCTCATTATTTCAAACACACTAGGAAAACTCAATCAAGTTATCAAACACAGATTACCCTACTTATTTCCTGAATGAATTTGCTGTTATTAGCAGATATAACGATCTGATTATTGTTGGGAAATCAGTTTCTACCTAAAAATATCTGTTTTAACAAGTTTTACATCTTCATTATTAAGTCCCCTTGTAGAACAACGATAAGTCTATGGATTTACAATGCTAGAATCAGTGGTTCGATTTTCCTCAGTTGACACTGTAGATAGCCATATTGGGATTTGCTATAAAGCACACACACACACGTTCATTATTAATCGCGAATAAAATAGTTACATTCCTACTGCTGTTTCATTGATTTTCTAAACATTACTATATAAGTTTCAGTCAAGTGTATATTCTGCACAATACCTCTTACATATAAGGAGACTCTAATTAGAAATTTATACAAAGCCTAAAGTTACTGCTTTTTTCACTAACTGTCACCTGACATTAAACATTTTGACTAAATGTAACAGTCTCCTTTCAATTCCAAATTTAACAATAATATCGTAATTTTCGTGTAATTATTTCAAAACTGAACAAAAATATTAATAATTTCTACCAGTTGACACTACACTGGGAAAACACTTTCCATTTCATAGAGATCAGGATTGAAAAGTAGTTTTTACGCCTATTATATAGCCATTTTATGTGTGGAACGTTGCTACAGTATGATTTTTACGATATATATAGTTGATGGATGTATGGCATTCATAAATAAGGGTGAGGTTCCACAAAGAGATATTAACCTGAATAACACATTATGTTACACATAAGCTACACAGCTAGGTCAGAGATCTCCAATGTTCAGGTATACTGTCCCTAACTTTGAACTAGCTACTACATGGAAGGAAGAAAGCCAACAGCCTCACTGCCACAAGAGCTTTGTCGAGCTCTTTGAACCGAATACCAAGATTGAATGTCACATTCATAATGTTGAAAGCTATATTTTCAATATATTAATTTAAATTTTTGCCAGAGGGCCCATAATGTTAGGATCTGGAAAGCTCATGAAAATTAATGTAATATATAAAAACAAGAGTAAAATATAAGTATGAGCAATCACTGATGAGCATTGGCGTCCACAGACATTTTTCAAGAGAATAGGCAAGCTCCCACAGTCAGATTTGATGGGTTTAATATTTGTAAAGTTAGTTTAAGCCATATCGCAGACTTGCAGCTATATATATATACTCTCCATGATAATAAATTTTGGTTGACCCTGACCATGCTTTCTCATGGGATGCGTCAGTCTCTTTATAACCAGCTGCCGATATTACCGGCAGGTGTCAACAGGTTGACTCCGATTATACTGTGTGAGGGCTCAGGGAATGTCAACAACACCACGTCGGTCTCTTTGATGACCTAAGTGAGAACTGTCATGTCTAATATCCAAGAAGTCACAGTGTTAGCGATGTTTTTCAATATTTAGCATAGGATAGGTATCTAGATATTTTAATTAAAGCTGCTGACAAACCTGGCAAGTGTTATTAGAATTGAAAATTAAGTGTAATAAGTAGTGAAACTCTGAAATGAATAAAAAACTTGTAAATTCATATACATATACTGAGTGAATAAAGAAAGAATTATGTTTCTCATTTTCCATGGGAGGCAAGTGCACTCTCTTGCCCCCTCTCCTGCAGACGCCTATGATAATGAGTAAGTTAGTTTAGTACTAGTCAACAAAAAGTTTCACGTATTGAGATGTAAACTTAACATCGTAGTTAAACCAAATATTTTTAGTAATTTTTATTAAAACTGGAAATTTGTGTTT